GCTAAATGATGATTAGTATTTATATTGTTACATATGTTATACTTTCGCATAAAACATTCTAAATCAAATCTGAAGAAGCATTGGAAAAGATGCTTTTCAAAAGCTATGTAAAGCAATAACTGAGCAGTATTAAAAAAGATGAGATATCCCTAGACATAGACAGTAGAATGAGAATACTGACTCTGGAGATTAAATAATGGGTTCAATTTGAAATTCCCTGAAGGTTGCTAGAAGCAAAAGACACCTGAATTAGGTCAGAGAGCACAATGGCTGAACAAAGACAAGGACATTAGTCCAAAAGTAAATCTTGATAACTCATCGCAGAAATTCAGGCAGAAATCAATTGAAGTGCATAATTTTCTTGTCTTTATTCGAAGTCTCAACAAAATACTCAAGTCACAAAATACTCCATTTCTGGTTTATGTAAAGTGTTTTTGTTTCTTTTTTTTTATTCTAGATAGACTATAGAACATATACTTTTTTTTTTCAACAAAATGAACACAGAAAGAAAATATGCTGTTTATTTTGTATGTATAAAGATGATATAATTCATAAACAAATATTTGGTTTTACTAACTTCTATAATCAATATTTCTTGCAAATATGATATAGCATTTATTTAATAAAACAAAAAAAAATCCAAAATAAAAAAAAAATAACACTTAATCCTTCCAAATTCTATCAGATACAGTGACTTCTTTGGTTAGCATACAGTTTTCCTATTTTCCTTAAAACAGGAAAATATTATTAGAAACAAAGAAAAACTACTGACATATTATGTAAAATTAGTCTTCCTATATGGCAATGAATGTGGGATAATCTACTCAGAGATGAAGAAGAGACTTGAAGCAACAGGAACATGATTCTACAGAAGGATGCTGAGAATACCATGGACTGAATATGTGGGCAATGATGAAGTTTCAGAGAAAACAGAAACAAAAAGGACATTTTTACTTAACAACAGAAAGAGACAATTGAAATTTCTAGGATGCATTACGAGGAAAGAGGGCTTAAAAAATTTAATACCTACAGGGCAGATTGAAAGCAAGAGCAACAGAGAAAAATATAATGTAATCTGCCTAGTGAGCTTGTGTTGATGTTCGGCAGAACATGGTTTAGGAGAGATAGCAAAAAGACAAAACTTTCTAAGGACCGAAAATTATGAAAGGTCATGATTGCCAACATCTTGAAGGGACATGGAACATAGAAGAATAAGGCTCTTCATACATGTTGGCTCTTCTTGGTTGTGATATATATATATATATATATATATATATATATATATATATATATATTATATGTGTTTTAGTGGATTCAGCAGTTTTCAATCTGCTTGTCTGAATCATCAAGAAGCGAGAGAAAGATCTAAAAGGTCAGCCAATCTAACATTGATTTCATTTCACAATCCTCACACTTGCTCCATAAGTGGCCTCCTTTGTAAATCCCTAGCGGGTCTTAAATGCCACTTAAGATTATCGCACAAAATTTCATAACTGAATCAATAAGCTGTCGGATCCTCATACGTCGAAACCGAGAGAGTCCATTATTATATATATATATATATGTACATTAAGACATGCTTCATTGAATAATTTAGACAAATTTTGTCGACTTATTTTCAATAGGATCCTATCATATTCATGGACAATCTTCTTAGTTTCCTCATTAAATGAAGAGAGAAAATAACAATGTTGATATATAATAATTTATTATGAGTACTTTCGGCATTAGCACAATGTGATCATCAAGGTGTTGTTTTTTTTTTTTCTAAATCAAGATTGTTGTGCTCAACTGAAAGTAAAATTTTTTTAACTGTGAAGGGAAAAACACTAAGTTTATGTACGGTATGATTTAAATTTCACAATTTAAACGTCAGGGGAGGTAACTAAGTTTTGTAATGTCCATATTTAAAAAAAAACATGGGCATGTCTTAATGAAAACATGCTGACAAAACATATAATATATATATATATATATATATATATATATATATATAATAGCTGGACACTTGTATTTTTACTAGGGCACCTAGCCAAACCCTATTGAAGACGCTCGCTCAGGCACATTTGAGTTTACTCAACACCCCAACAGCCCACCTGTAGTTTATACTGCAACTATGCTTGAGCAGGCCTTAGTTACAGTTTCTGGGAGAGAGTGTGTTATCTAATGTGATTGACAATTTAAACAAGGCCAGTATGCTCAACCCTTGTTCATAATGACTTGTGGTTTCATGCTATCATTAATGGCCCACAAGTGTTCCATCTACACAATTTCACTCGCAAGGCTTGGGTTAACCCATGGTATGGTTTTCAGACACTTCCCAAAGATGCCACACACTGGGATTGATCCCGATCCAGTCCGGTAATAGAAGTCGCCTTCCTGATAAATCGGCCATGGTGAGATCTGAACCTGTGTCTCATAGTTAGAAAGTGAACATTCTAAACACTTGGCCATGCGTCCACATATATATATATCTATCTATCCTGAGATGGAACAAATACATTGAATCAATTGTTTTGTCCACCACAAGGAAAGTTGGCTCCCTGTGCCACGCCAAAAAATTTTTCTCCCCTTCATCCTTCAGATCTACAAATCAACAATTCGTATCTGATCTTGCTCCAAATCTTCTGTAACCCCTTGCGTCCTAGTGGCTTCCCACCTTGCTTGGGGTGAAACGCTTAAAATATATATATATATATATATATATATATATATATATATATATATATATTTAAAATAGGATACAGAATCCTGACAAGGTTTTTAAGAAATTAGACAAATGGAAAATGTTTCACCGAAAGTAGATTTGATTATGCGTTTTGCCATTCTAGCCTTCATCCGATCCAAAAACAAAAGAAAGAAATGTATGTATTGATAGAATTAATACAAATAGAATTTGTCATTTAATTGAGTGTTGTTATACATTTATGTAATTGCTAAGTCCACTCTTCAGGAGATTTCAGGAGTTGCCTGCTGTTTTTCTCATTTTTGTTCACTATATACTAAGTTTGATGTAATTAATTTATGCAATAGCTCTTATTAGATTGATTTTTCTTCTTGTTTTGTGTGTATCTGTGTGTTTCTGCATGCGTATGCATGTGTGTATGAGTGCAAGTGTTCATGTGTGTATGAGTGCATGTGTCAAATGTTGTGGTTATTACTCCTTTCCATCATTTCCTTACACTCTTTACACTCTCTTCCACTTCCTTTTCTTTCTTTTTCTCGTTCAGATTGAAATTAAGTCTATCATAAGAACATTGATCTACATCATAAAAACAGAGTTATATCATCGAATTGAATTGAAGGCAGTCTATCTAGGAGAAGGAAAACTCTGCTTTTAAAGCACTACTGCCTTGCGGTCAGATCCAAACATGGAAAAGCCTCTGTTGGTATCTCTGAGACGAGGTATTTTGATTACTTGCATTATTTACATTGTGGTTTCCTTGGGGTACAGAGAGGAATTACTTTCAGAGCAACAATGCATAGCTAATATGAGTAAATAGTGTTTTGGTAGCCCAAAACTTGCTCTATCCAGTGGGGTCATCGAACTCCCTGTACCTGTTGTTATTTTGTTGAAGATAAAGAAAAGCATTACTTTCGGAGTAACAATTCATAGCTAATGGTGGTGACTATGTTCGAAAAAGTTTTTTTTTTTGTTGGTGGAAACATTCTCTATGCAATGATGCTATCGGGCTCCCTGTACTAGTTATAATTACGACAGAAATAGCTCGGGAGGCATTAATTTTGAGCTCCCTTTATAACAATAATATATATATATATATATATATATATATATATTATGGGAGAAAGAAAAAATAATGAAGATAATTCTGGAAGAACCAAGACAAATAAAAAATGAAAGATACAAAAAGAAATATGCATATATATATATATATATATATATATATATATATATATATATATGTATGTATGTAATTTTGAAAGAGGGAGCTTTTGCCAGTAAGAACAAAACATTTGATTTCCTGAGGTGGCTTCTTTCATTTTCTTGTTTTCTTCTGTTTGTGATTTTTTTTTTTTGTTTTGGCTTCCAACACAGAAATGTCCGCATGTCTCCTTCATCAGTGCTGCCACCACTATAGCCGCCTCCATGAGCTGCCATTTCCATTGTCTGTGTGTGGGTTTCTGAGTTTTTTTTTTGTTTTTAATGTTATAAATTTTTTGTTTGTTTGTTTTGGTTTACAACTTTGCATCCACATTGGCAGTATTGTCTTAGACACTTGTTATGCCGCCAGGAGGAAGAATGTCTTGATGGGTTGGAGTTGAAAGGTGTTGTCGAGCGTGTGTGAGTTGGAAAGAGAAAAAGAACTAGTGGGATGAAAAGCTTGTAAGTTAGTCAAGGAGGAATGAGAAAGAGAAAGAGAGGGAGAAAGTAAAAAAAGAAATAGAAGAAAGGAAGTGAATTATGAAGAAAAAAGGAAGGAAAAGAAAAACAATGAAAAACAAAAAAAAAAGTAAAACAAGAGAAATAAATAATGAAAACTGAAGGATGAGAAAGAAAGTGAAAGAAATATGGAAGGAGGAAAGGATAAAAAAAATTAGGTATAAATAAAGGAAAAAATAGAATAAAGACAAGTGAATCAAAGAAAAACAAATAAAGGATGTTGAAAAAAAGAATAAAGAAAAAATGAATGAGAAGGAATTTTAGAGATAAATCTAAAACTTCATGTAATGGATAAATGAAAATATGGTAAAAAAAAGGAAGGAGTTTAAAATGAAAGGTAAGATGAAAAAAGCAAATGAAGGACATTAAAATTGAAAGAAAAATGGAGAAGAGGAAGGACATTACAATGAAAGAAAAGATGTAAAAATTAAGTGAAGGACATTAGAATTGAAAGAAAAATGGAAAAGAAGGAGAAAGACATTAGAATGAAAGAAAAGATGTAAAAAATAAATGAAGGTCATTAGAATTGAAAGAAAAATGGAAAAGAAGAAAAAGGACATTAGAATGAAATAAAAGATGAAAAAATAAATGAAGGACATTAGAATTGAAGGAAAAGTGAGAAAGAAGAAAAAAGACATAAGAATGAAAGAAAAGATGAAAAAAGTAAATGAATGACATTAGTATTGAAGGAAAAATGGAAAATAGAAAAGAAAAAGAAGGACATTAGAATGTAAAGAAAAAAATGAAAATTGAAAAAGGCAATGATGGACATTCGAATGAAAGAAAAATGTAAATTGGAAAATGATAATAAAGAGTAATTGAATGAAAGAAAACATGGGATATTAAAAAAGAGAGGAAAGACATTATAAGGAAAGAAAGCATGAAAAATGGGAAAAAGAGGAAAGACAGAAAGAAAAACTTAAAATAGAAAAGGAGAAAAATGGTCATTACAATGAAAGAATATAATAAAAAATGAACTTGGGAGGAAGGACATTAGAATGAAAAAAATGGGAGGGCATAAAAATGAAAGAGGAATGACAAAAGAATGAAAAGGAAAGTGAAAGATAGAAAAAGAGATTAATAATATTTGAATGGAAGAAAAATGAGATTTGATAAAAAATGGAAGGAGATACATTAGAATGAATGAGTGAAAAGTTAAGAAAAAGAAAGAAAGGAGATTTGAAATAAATAAGGAAGGATGTCAAAAAGTGAAGAATAGGGAATGAAAAATGAGGTCATTAGAATGAAAGAAAAAAAATTAGAATCAATGATTGAAAATCATTGATTCTAATTTTTTTCTTTCATTTAAAAGAAGAAAGGAAGGAGATTAGAAATAAAGAAAGAAAAATGTCAAAAAGTGAAGAAGAAAGAAAGAAAAATGAAAAAGAGAAAGAAAGGTCATTAGAATGAAAGAAAAATTAAAAGTGAAAAAATAGAAAGAAATGTTGAAAAAAAAAAAAAGGAAAGCCTAGAGAAGAGAAAAAAAATCCATGTTGAAAAAGAAAATATTGAAAGAAAAATGAATGTAAAAAAATAAGCCAAACAAAATCATATTAAAATGAAAAACGTACAAAACTTGAAAAGGCAAAAGAACTGGAGAGCAAGGTGATGGAGAGTAAGTTTTTGGAGAGCAAGTTTCTGGAGAGCTGGTTGGAAGTAAGCAAGGCCAAACAGTATTTGGTATTGATTGTTTGAATTGTTTTCAATGACTGGAACACCAACAGGTGACCAAGCAGCATTGTCATGAACAACAGTCATCGACAGTCCCTTTCCTTCCCACAGAGACAGTCTGGCTAACACTGCAACAAACATTCTTGTAACAAAGAAAAGTACGAAAATAAATAAGTAGTCATTATTTTCAGAACAGGTGTTCAGTACAAGATCTCTTTGAAAAGCAGCCACCTCTTGTGTACACAAAAGTGGATAGCACAAGAGTGTCCTAAAAACATACAAGCAGAATTCTCTGAAACCAGGGTTTGTTGATTCTGTTTTTAAAAATGAAAATTCTTTAAATAATGGTTGTAGTGAAATTACATGTTTCTATACAAGGAAACTTTCATATTTAATGATAAGCAGCTTGAATTGCCGATGGTTTAAATTTATACAAATTTTTTCTTAAAAAAAAGAGAAAGCCTTCCTAACTCAAATAAGTGTTATAACTCTTTCTAATACATATGTGAGTTTCCTTCCAAACCTTTTGTTTAAGGCAGTGTTGAAAGTAAACTTTATTTCAATGTTTTCCTTTTTATCTATGTAGGAATGTGAAAAGCGAGTACCTCCTTCTAAGTAAGAGAAATCCACAAGGGCCACTGGTGAGTAATGTCAGTTCATAGATTTACAAACACCAGTTGCTATTTAGCATACCTAGAGGAAAGATATGTTTGCCTATGCTGGTTGCTATGTAAACAGCAGAGAAGCAAGACATGACTTTCCACAACAGTTAAGAGAGCAGAGGAAACTACATGGTCTCACCATTGGCTTGCTAGTTTCCCTTTGGGAAATATTACAAATAAGGACATCTCACTTTTTGCCTCTTTCACACTGCTTGTTGTATACCTATTTTATAGTTTCTTTGCATGGGACAAATTAGTGACAAGTATATATATATCGGTATAAAGATTCTCTTTGAGAACAATCCATGTTTGTCATTTTTTCTTTCAGCTGTTGTGTTCCGTCTGTTGTATTAAATTGTTACAGAAATACCAGAATTTACTATCAGCATAAGGGACTTGCCTATGGAAGTTGTCAATGAATTTCAGTACCATCCTATTAAATTTAATAAGACCTAGTTGCCAATCTAGTAGCTTGCTTAAATTCATACAACTGAGGGAAGAAGGAGGAAAGTTCATCAGAACAATTGCCGTGAAAATATTTGTAAAAAAAAAAAAAATAGGAAGATACCTCATACAGGTGAGAAACTGACTGAAGTTGATATGCCAGGTCAGAATCAATTACATTACAGACCCATCTTTGGATTTTGTGAAGAATCTCATGATATATGGCAGGAGCATGAGATCAGACCAGATGCCACAGCAATATTCAATGCACAAATGAATGGTCTGCCAAAATTGTCTGTCACAACACAGAGAACCAAATATCCTAGTAGTGGATCTTGCAATTGATATAATATAATTACTCCACGTCCTGTCAATGGAACACATGAGCCTAAGAAGAAGCAAAGAATTGCTCTGATGGAGGTTAGCATCAGCCATGCTGATGGAAGGCAGAAAAGGATTTTTAGGAGCAGTTTCTTTGTTGTTTCTATTCTCCTTAAAAAGTGTTCTTCCCACCTGAAAAGAACACATTTTAGATCTCTAAGTTGCTCAAGTTCATATATGGGGTACCAGAAGATAGATAGATAGATAGATAGATAGATAGATAGATAGATAGATAGATAGATAGATAGATAGATATGAACAGTCTGATAGCTAGATATGAACAGACTGAGACAGATATATAGCTAGATATGAACAGACTGAGACAGATAGATAGATAGATAGATAGATAGATAGATAGATAGATAGATAGATAGATATGAAAAGACTAAGATATTATCAGATTGAGACAGATAGATATAGGCAGACTGAAACAGATAAATAGATTGATAGACAGAGAGAATGATAGACAGATAGATATGAATACATTGGGATCAAAAGATATGGATTGAAATAGATAGATAGGAACAGACTGAGATAGATAGATAGATAGATAGATAGATAGATAGATAGATAGATACATACATACATAGATATGAACAGACTTAGATAGATAGATAGATAGATAGATAGATAGATAGATAGATAGATAGATAGATAGATAGATAGATACAAACTAAGATAAATAGATAGTAACTGTTCCTGTTGTTGCTTTTAAAGAAATGGCAACCAACAAAGAATATGTGTTAAGATCCAAGTCAAAAGATACAACAGGCATTTTTAGATTTTTTCTCTTGCATTTCAATGTGTGTATATTGTTATGTCGAAGATGAAATTCTTTTTTTTGTTCACAATTTCTTCTTGTCTGTTCATTTTTATTTCTTCTCGAAAAACTGGAGAGCTCTCTGGCAGTTGTTCAGCTGGAGAGACTCTTTGGAAATTGGTGATGCCAAGCATCAAGTAGAATACAGAAGATGGTAAGATGCACAAAAAAGTGGGAGAAGTAGAAATAGAAGGAAAGAACTGATGGAATGCAGTGAGGAGGGAAAAGGGAGAGAAAGTCAAATGAAGAGATGAAAAGAAGGAAGGAAATTAAGGAAGGGAGAAAGAGAAAGTAGAAAAATAAAAATAAAAGAAAGAAGATGAAAGAGGAAATAGAGAAAAGAATAGAAAAAGGGTAGAAGGAAAATTAGCAAAAAATAACTTAAGAAGAAAGAAAGAAAGAAAGAAAGAAAGAAGGAAAGAAAGAAAGAAAAGAAAAATGAAAGAAAGAAAGAAGAGAAAAGAAGAGACTAAAACAATAGGTGTTGGGATCACAAGTTTTTTTTTAAGGAGAATGAAAAATAGAGTCAATAAGAAAGAACGAAAGAGGAAGAATGAAAAAATAGAAAAAGTGTGAAAAAATATGGAAAATAATACTAGAAGGAAGGAAGGAAGAAAGAAGAGAAATGGAGAGACAATAAAACAAAGAAGAAGAAAAAGAATTTATGAATGAAACAAGAAAGAAGGATTTACTAAGAAGGAATGAAAGATAGACAAAGAGGAATAAGGAAAAGGTGAAGGAACATAAAATAGGTTGAAGGAAAAATGAAAAAGAAAGCCAAAAGAAAAGAGTGACAAGAAAACAAATTTGGACTAACAATTGTTTGAAGAAGAAGTAAAAAGAGAAAAAATATTTGAAAGAAAAAGAATATGAAAGAAAGAGGTAAAAGAAATGGGGGAAGAAAAAGTGAAGAGAAATAAAAAAAAAAGAAACAAAGAAAATAGAAGAAATGAAGAAAGAAGTAAACAAAGCAAGGAGAAGCAAAACAAAAAATTGTAATGAAAAATGAAGGAAAGAAAAAGGAACAAAAATAAAGATAATGATCAGAATAAAAATGAAAAATGTATGAAAGTGAAAGAAAAATGACCGGGTTGAACAAAGAAAAGAATGAAAAGGAAAAAAATTAAGAAGTAAAAACATTTTTGGGAAGAATGAAAACATTAGAGACAAAAAAACATTGCAGAGGATATAAAAATTACATTTTTTCTTTTGAATCATTTCACCCCCAGAAAGACATTAAAGCCACTAAGCAGTAAGGATTTACTGAGTGTTAGAGAATATGTGAAAAAAAAACACTATGAAGGAGAGAGAACAATAAAAGAACAAGAATTAAGAAGATGGAAGATTAATAATTGACACTGCATTTATGTTTTTGAAGATCAAAGTTGACTGGGAAGCAAAAAGCTGGATGAGACTTCTACAAGCGAGAAGTGTGGTTGAAGAAACTGTTAGCATGGAACTTACGGTTACATCTAGCCAGTTCAGTTGTAAAATGATAAAACCTTGCGAACAAACTAGTAGTGTGTTCAAATTCTAAAAATTCTACCATTTGTCCATGCATTGAATACTGTTGCCATATATGGTCTTGTGTCCTTGCTGCTCATCTGTATTAAACTTACAACAACCGCCATCTGTCTAACTCTCTGCATTAGCAGGGAGGAACCCGGACGAAGCTTTGCCAAAGGGCAAGGTTTCGTTCGGGGAGGTTGACAGCTCTCGAACCCGCCTAGGCCGGTTCGAAGGCTATATTTTTGGCTGGGCCTACCGGGCTCGGATTACCAACATTAAACTCAACCTTGTGACACATGCTACCCCACGTGGGGGGGGGACAGCTAAATATAGCTGCCCATCTCAAGGTCCTCGACAAAATCCAAAGACGGATATGCAATGTTATATGTCCTAACCTGGCATCTCGACTTCCCTTAAGTAAAGAATAATAAATAATTGACATATACATGAAATATAGATATGTACGCAACATTTTATCTTATTTGTATTGATAATTTCCTTTTATTATTTAATCTTCTAAATTTATCAACGATCATTTACCACAAGGAAAGTTGGTTCTCCGTGTAGCGCCAGAATGTTTTTTTTTTATCACCTGAGTCCATCCTTCAAATCTACAAATCTACCATTCAAACTTGCATGGAATACTGTTGCCATATATGGTCTGGTTCCCCCGCTGTTCATCTACAAGGTTCTCGACAAAATCCAGAGACGGATATGCAATATGTTAGGTCCTGATCTGGCATCTTATCTACAGTCACTTTCTCACAGACATGCTATTGTTTCTCTCTGACTTTTCTACAAATATTTTCATGGCAACTGCTCTGACGAGCTACTTTCACTGGCACCCCAACTGCATGAAGATAGTAGATAGATAGATAGAAAAATAGATATGAACAGACTTAGATAGATAGATAGATAGATAGATAGATAGATACGAACTAAGATAAATAGATAGTAACTGTTCCTGTTGCTGCTTTTAAAGAAATGGCAACCAACAAAGAATATGTGTTAAGTTCCAAGTCAAAAGATACAACAGGCATACAACAATAGGTTGGCATCTCAGTCCCACTCTTTTTACTATTGAAACAGTTAAATGTAACTGCCTCTTTTACTCCAAAAGTTTCTTCTCTCACACTTCCTGACAGTGGAACTCCCTTCCTCTTACTTACTTCCCTGATAACTATAATCTTTAAATATTCAAATGTAATGTCAATTGACATCTTCTGATGCCTTGATCTTGATCCCCATCCTTCTCTTTATCCTTTCCTCAAACACCCCTCTTTACACTTGCTTTCATTCTCTGTAAGCCTTTGTGTGCTAGTGGCGCTCCTGCCTTGCTTGGGGTGAAATGCTTAAAACTGGTAAAACCTTTTCACACATAGTTGGCAGACACAAGACATGCACCTCTACATTTACCTATTATCTTTCTGTGGAGTAATATTTGGATGTTTGTCTTACAGAAAATTACTTACAATATATCTGTTATATACGGTGCATTTTTTTAAAAATATCCTTCTAAAACCATACTCCATCTTACGTCTCAATGACTGGATCTGTTAAAGTAACACAAAATTTGATGAAATTGCTCCCTTATGACCACAGAATAAAATATATGGAATTATTATTAATTAAAACATGATTACATATGAAAATAATACTAAAATATTAAAGAAATGAAAACAAAATGGTATGTAATTTGAAAAGGAAATAATAAGTTAACCAAGACTTCCAGCCTACTTCAAACAAAAAGTTAGGAAGGAAACTTCTATCAATGCTGGAAAGATCAATAACAGTTACTGAATATGAGAAACAGTAGCAATGGCTGCTAAGTCAATAAATGCTGACTGTCTCCTTATAATGCTGATTGTCTCCTTCACATTAATATAAACCCTCTCTGTAAGTGCTGGCCTGTGAACTAATTAATCTATATGGTGGTGGGTGGCTGCATTGATAAGGAAATTGAGGGGTATGGAATAGCCTAAATCTTAATTCACAAAATTTTTTATTTTTGTCAGATTTTTGGCTAGCTAATCTTCAAATGGGGGAGAGTTGTTAGTAACTAATAAGAAAAATAAAATTCATCTAAGGATAGATGAATTCCAAGAATCCTGATTCACAAACTAGAGGCAGTGTCTCAATAAAATCCCTGTGGACAAAGAAAAAAAACAAAAAAAGAGAAAGTATGACAGATATAGAAAAAGCAAAATATGGCTTTCACAAACTAAAAATAAGTATTAAGTGATAGGAAAATGTTGTTAGAAAGAAAGAAAAGAGTGCTGGATTAAGCCGTAATATCTAAATTCCTGTATATCAGTGGATGCTGGATAATCTTCACATGACTTTCAAAAACTAAACAAAGTATTAAGAGATAGGAAAATCTCATTACAAACAAAGAAAAGAGTGCTGAACTGCTATGTAATATCTAATCACTTATATTGTAGTGAATGCTGGACAATCTCCTCATGCCTTTCATAAACTAAGCAAAGTATTAAGAGATCAGAAAATGTTGTTAGAAAAAAAGAAAAGAGTGCTGAACTGCTATGTAATATCTAATCTCCTATATGGGCATGAATGCTGGACAATCTCTTCATCCCTTTCATAAACTAAGCAAAGTATTAAGAGATAGGAAAATCTCATTAGAAACAAAGAAAAGAGTGCTGAACTGCTATATAATATCTAATCTTCTATATGGCAGTGAATACTGGACAATCTCCTCATACCTTTCATAAACTAAGCAAAGTATTAAGAGATACGAAAATGTCTTTTGAAACAAAGAAAAGAGTGCTGAACTGCTATGTAATATCTAATATATGGCAGTGAATGCTGGACAATCTCTTCATGTCTTTCATAAACTAACAAAGTATCAAGAAATAGGAAAATGTCATTAGAAATAAAGAAAAGAGTGCTTAACTAGCCTAGCATAACTGTCATGACAAAGCCAAAAGTGATCTTTTTAAATGAAGTTAATTAAACTAAACGCTCCTAATGCCATCTGGTGACAAAATCAGAACTTAATAGATGTGAATGTACTGATGGCGAGGTATGTATGAAGAGAGATATATAGATAAGAGCGAGCGAAGATAGATAAAGAGATCAATGCACGCAGACAGTGATCAGTAGATATAAAATATACTTATCTCACGGAGAAATGCGAAGAAGTAAAAGCAAGAGGAAGCTTAATAAAAAAAAAAAACAGATGAAAAATGGTATAGAACAATAATTAGTGCAATCAATAACGGCAAAATGATCGATAATGTAGAGAACACAGTGGAGGAGTCGGGGCAGCCAGGAGATTTTACTTGAGAGAGATTCAGGGAGGGGGGTGTTGGTGTAGACTGGGATGGGGTTTGGGTGGCAGAGTGGTGGAGGCCGGAATCAAATTGAGATAACCTCCGCGTAGAAGACTTGAAATGTAACAAAAAGAAATGTGAAGTACAAAAAAAAGCCCCCCCCACACACACACCAAAAAAAAAACAAGAAAAAAAACATAAATCTTTATGTAATTGCCTTAAAAGACTTGGCAGTCAATGAAAGATATTCTTATGCATGACTGACGACAACATAGCATTATACATGGATAGCAAGACAGGCGGATAGGCTTGCTAGAAGTATAAATAGCTCAGTGAATAGCTGTAAATAAATATATAAATCAATAGACAAAATGCGAGATGTACCGACAGGTATGAACAAAGGTAGGTAGATTGCTAGATAGCCATAGGTATTAACGTTGAGCTAATTCTTTGAACAGTGAATACATTCAGCCTTACTGACTTAACCAAAGTAGGTCATAGTTGATAAAATCAAATAGTATGTCTCTATTATGCCTAACAGAAGATGCATATTAAATTAGGTACATTTTGAAAATCACATGATCAAATATGTATACATGTCGAGAATCACATGACCAACTAAGTACATATCATATGCTGAGGTGGTTTTCTCCATGAAATACATATATAAAGCAACTAACAAGTACTGACTAAAGATGCCGATTAAATCTTCATTACTTAATGTTTTCTTCATGCCAGAAATTTGTCAGTGACTCTTGGCCAGTCTCTGGCACTGTAGAGCCCTGATCTAATATGTGGACCTTACATTCTGCTGGCAATGTGTGAGAGACTGCCCTGAGACTCTTGTGGCAGTTGTTTTTGTAACTAAATATATCATAAATTATTTCTCTACCTTCAAACTGAATGCAGGTGTGAGGTCACATACATCTTTCGTTTGGCAAGGGTGATCCTAGATTGACACCCTGATGCACCTGGTTTCTTTGGTCTGGTATGAAATTTGAGTGAAATAATAGCCCAAAAAAGAGGACACAATAAATTAGGTACACTTTATATTTCCTGAATCACATTGTCAAACATATATACATGTCATAAATCACATGATCAACTAAGTATAAGCTATAAGCTGATGTGGTTATTCACTATAGAATGCATATATAAAGTAACTAATAAGCACTAACTAAAGGAAAACAACAATGCCAAGGTGGCATTCTATTTAGAACTATAAAATAAAAGAACATAAACCCCCTTTCAGCCTCCCTTTTGTTCTGTCCGCTGTAGGATGCGGTGACTACAAGACACTACCCAGGAGAGCAACAGTTCACCAAACCATGTGCCATACTC